ACATTCCTTATAAATAAACAATTTTACACAGAGAATAAACCCTACATGTCCACAAAGAAACATTGGTATGAAGTTCCAAATTTTGCCTAAATGCTTAGGCCAAAGGGTCAACAATATCAAACTAACAAACTGCATTAGCTGAACCAAGATGCTTCCTAGCAGATGTACAAGTGACAGTAACAAACAGTTGCAGTTATAACAGCTCCAACACCTTGATCTATGATTTTCTGAAACATTCCTTTTTTAGGAGAAAGGTTTCCAGGCATGGAAAGGTAAGTGAACTTTTAAAGGAAAGCTAAAGGAGAATGTGAGTCATTTTGAATTCGGAGGAGCAAAGAAAAACACGAAACTAAACTCCAACCTCCTAAAAATATATCATACATTTTTCCAACCAACAGTCACAACTCAGAAACAGAAAGATTTTGAAGTCTGCAATGCTCTGAAGGTCACAATAGATCATATGTGGAACCAAACTGATGACAAAGTTGGAAGATGTGGAAAAATTATTTCTGGGTATGGGCATCTCTAAAGCAGTTATTCTGTAACATCTCTGGCACATCCAGGGTGCACAATGCTATCCTAATGACATGAAAAACTCACTATTCTGAAACCAGGCTGAGAAATATTTATGCTCTTAAGTGATGATAGAAAAAAAACCACAGAGTTGCTTTCTTCCAACACTGGACAAGGAGCTCTAATAGAATAAAGTGAAAAGCAAAACTGCCCTCTGCTTCATTGTAAACCTTCTTCCTGGAAGCATCTGAGGTCTCCCTTGCCTAGCTGTGGGCAACATAGACAGGAAGACAAGTGTTCTTCTCTTACCCACAGCACATTGCCCAGTGTATCGTGGGTGCACAGCCCTGGCCTCAATTCTTCACTGTTCTGTGCTGGATGTTGCCACTCACACCAAAGAGGAGTGGGTATACATGTTACCACTTTGGTAACACCTGGTAACATTTCACACCCACTTTGTACTGGTGTAAATAACTATCTGAGCTGCAAGGCAGGGGAGAATCAGGCCCTACACAAACAGCACAAAGCTTTCACAGCACACCCAGGTCTCTAATCCTTTTCATTACTGACAATGGGATGTACAACTCTTGCAGTTGCACTTTCAGTGGCATCAATTGGGGCAGCATCTGCTGCCATCACTCCTAGCCTGTTGCTGTTGGCTCAGGGCAGTGGTTCTCAGTGGTTTCAGGGTCAGGTCAGCCCTCCACAACTTTTCTGAATGTGATAGCACCCCTCATTGAGAACCACTGCCATGCTTAACTTAGCTTAGTAGTTCTCAACCAGGTGCTCCTGCACAGGGTAAAACTGCCTCACATCCAAACTGGGAATGGCAGTGGCATGCATGATGGGCGGGAAAGCCAGCCTGTGCTGCAGCCCCTTCTGACCGGATCCTGCACCTCCTGGGCACAGAGGTACATGGAATAGGTGGAAGCTTCCTGTGTCCCTTTTTTCCGTGAGGATTGAGAATGGGGGCGCACTTGGGGAAGGGCTGCTGCCTGAGCCAGCTTCTGTCAGCTTTGGGGTTATCAAAGAAACCTAATGCAGGAGGAGTATGCACACGTCTCAGCCCTGCATATGGGACAGTTTTACCTGGCTGCAGCAGCAGCACCTCTATCGCAGCACCCCAGGGGGTGTGTCAGGGCACCCTGGGGTGCCCTACCACCCCTGCTGAGGAACACTACCCTATGTACTCCCCCCTCCTTGGACGTGTCCTATACATGCACTGAGGGTACAGGGATCACAGCCCACGGTGGAAGGGCCACATGGAGTTATAGGGGATTGACTCTCTATAGCTGGGTGGGGTAAGGGTACATGGGAAATATACTGGACCTGAGGTTTTGTAGGAGACTAGTCAGTTCTGAGCCATTGATCCCAAATCTTAGCCTTCCAAAGAGCAGCTGTGGCCCCATAGCTTTGGGGAGGAGGGAAGACAAACTGTGCCTGCAGGAGTAGTGGTAGGCCAGCTAGCCAGCAACCAGACCAAAAGAGCATGTGGCGTTTCCCTCATTGGTAGGTCCCAAGGACAATGGGCCTTATTCACTGCATGATGGAAAAAGAATGGCCCTAATGATGCAAGCACAGCTTTGAATGGAGCTGCAGGACACAGGAAGACTTTGGGCCCCTGTCTGTGCTCCAAACTAATACAGGCCTGCCACTGAGTCTCAGTGCAACGTGGTTTGCTTAAATCCCCGCCTAGCATCACTGCTCCTGGAAGGGACGTGTGGCTACACCACACTATCTGCACAGAACAATGCTCTGTGTGTGGAGCAGCATTTGTATGGGATGAAGAACTAGTTCCCTCCCTGGAGGGCGTTTCAAACACTCACTTAAGCTGATACCACTGCAATCAAGATAAACCTGGACTGCTCACAACACAAGCTGATGAGGGTTCAGGCTGATTCCACCTGTGCACAAGTACATACAACAAGCCAATAGATGGGGAAAGGACACAGAATACAGTTCACTGCCTGGAAATATATTTAAAGGGAAGCATCACATCATCTAGTCTCCATAATAACTTGACTAGCAGTGCTAGATTTTAAATATATTCTGTACAACTGAGGACAAGATCCACAGAGCAGACAATCCACAAGACAGGAAGTATTTCAGAATATAGAGAAGATGGACAGTGCTTCCTCAGAAATCCTCAGAGCATTATTCCCAGTCCTGGCACTAAGCTGCTGTTTGATCCTGTGCAAGCCACTTTCCTTCTCTGAGTTTCTGTTGTTCCCTTCCTGGTCCAGTCAGACTGCAAGCTCCTTGGGGCAAGCACTATGACTGTGTGTCTATACAATTCTCTGATCTTGGAAGAGAAATCCAAGCGTCACTCTAACACAAGCAGTGCTATGAATCTGCCTTGGAACTTATGGGTAGAATTTGGTCCTCTTGGCTCTGGGCTCCTGAGAAATGTGTTTCCTACCAGGGGTTGAAATAAGGACAAACCCCCAAGGAGTGCATCCTGGTGGGCTGCAAAGCTGTGTCACCCCTGACCTCAGGTCTGAACCATGGAGAGGCAGTGTCATGGGAAGGGATACAGGGGAGAGGTCAGACTCTGTATGTCGTCACCATCGAGGTCTGAGAAACCAAGGGCAAGGGAAAGACCTGACCGCATGGTTGATCCAGCCCCGGAAGGAGCAGGCTGGGGAAGATGTTGATCTCCAGACACCCTCCTGGTGCTAAATGAGTCAGCAATGCTTGTCTGTGGTGTTCATGAGACCCCCAGAGACTTACTTCCTCAGAATACTGACTCTGACAGTGACCACAGACTAAAATACCTGCTAGCATCTCTGCTGTGTCCTGTCATGGAGTGTGGGGAGGGGACCCCTTCCTGATCTCGAGTGATCTGCTGAGATCCTGAGGCATGAGATCAGCTTCTTCCCTAGCATCCTGCCTAAGGTCATACTGACTGGTAGACAGGAGCTGTATTGAGAGTACCTTCCCATCCTCCTGCCCTGCTTCTCCACATTTTGGATGCTCTCACTCCAGGGTGAGTCATTCCAAACCAGCCCACAATGAGAAAGCAAGGGGGTGTTAGGACAACAGGTCAGCCAGTTGACTGGGGACTGGGGCTCTGACCCTCCTCTCTAAGCTACGTGTATGAAGGCATGTAGGAAGCAGACTCTGTGTTTGGAACCGCAAACAGAACCAGCTAGGCAGGCCACAGGTGAGCCATGGGCGGACAGCAGAGGTGCAGATTGGTGGGAAAATAATGGCTACTGCCCCCAGCTTCCAGTAGTACACTGGAAATGAGAAGGCTGAGCTGGGTTCAAGGGGCTGAGCAGCCTATGGAGGGAGAAGCATGCAGGAGAGTTGGGGGCACAGGTACTATATGCTGAATATATATCCTGCTTCTAGCAAAGTCCAGGAGTGGGTAGGGATTATAGAGGGTTACATAGTACATACATATAGCAGGGGTATGCACAAAGGAGGAGCAGGTATAGACAAGTTAGAGAGCAAGTTAAAGAGAAAACACAGCTTGGGAGGGCTGGGGCTGCACACAAGGCACAAGATTTGGTGCTAGATATATGTGTGGGGGCTAATTGGGTATGAGCAGCAGGGACTCTATGTGTTCCTATACATTTGCAGGGAGGCTGCTCCAATGCACTGTAATTACAGCGTGTTGGAGCAGACTTGATTAATCGAGTCTGCTGGAGCATGGTAATTACTGCACTCCAGCAGACTCCAGTGTCACATGTATCAGGGTCCCTGCACTGAAAAACGGCAGCAAGGTGCTTTAAATCAAAGCTGGTTCAATGTGCTTTAGTTCAAAGTACCCCACTGCCATTTTTTAGTGCAGGCATGCTGATACATGTGCTCTTCAGGGCACTTGCAATTGCAGAAGACTGGAAACAGTGATCCAGGTGGGCCCAGGTTATAGTCCTGTGCTCCTAAGGGCTGGGCATAGTGTGTGCGGAAGAGAGGAAGAGACGTGTGATGTCAAAGACAAAGCCTGGCAACCTGGGCTTGGCTGAGCTGTACAGGAGATCTAAGTTATAAGTGAAGCTGGAGGGCAGGGCCTGGGCATCTGAGTTCTGGCTGTGGAGCATGCTGAGGAAAAGACTAGTGTGGGGAGGGCCAGCTGAGGGCAAGATGTGTAGGGGGTCCATTTCCCCTGGATGATGGTTCTACCCCAGGACCCCCAGCATTATAACTCAGCTGTCTTTAGGCCACAGGGTGTGGACTCCATCATTCCCTGTGCAGAAATGCTTCCTCCTCTTACCCTCACTGCACAGTACTGGCTCTCCATGGATCTGGGCATAGCAGTAGCAAAGTCTCTGAGAACTTCCTTCGGTTATGGACTGCTTCCCTGAACCTTCAGCAAGATAGCCACCCGAAGTCAGGGGTAAGGGCCCTGTACCAAGCCACCAGGCTGCCTGTCCCCCAATGGCAGGCACCTCTGAGTTCCAGAGAAAATTCCAGGATTGGATTTGCCAAGCAGAGCTGACAGCCCACGGCGCACTGACTCAGGGTCCCAGGGCAACACTTACCTGAGCGCCAGCTCTGGGACAGCCGATGGTGGAAGCTCCGGCTGGCACTCTTGGCCATGAGCTCCGCCAGATCTTCGAAGTTGAGGATGAACATAATGACAGACCCCTCCTCGTTCTTCACTGGAACCACGTCCACCAGGCACCGCAAGCACGATGCTGCCATGGGAAAGAGAGAAGAGGTCAGACTGTGCCCGGGGGAGGGCACCTACAGGCCCTGTGAGCCCTGTGCTTGGGTCTACCACATGCTCAAGAGCATGAGACCCCTGGGGAGATTTGGGGTGACATCCCATATGGTGCAGCTAGTGAGAAACATTCTGGGCTCTAGGAAGGTGGCTGTGATGCTAGCAGTGCCTCTCTGTCTTCCTCCAGTGGCTGAAACATGGAGAGAGGTTTGTGAGTCTGCCCCTGGCTCTAAGGCAGCAGATTCCAAGCAGCAGACGTCCCAGAGTCAGTCCTGAAGATGGTCCAGGACTTCCATCTCTGAGACAGTTAAAACAAGCTCCTACCTAGGGGCGACCCCACAGGCTGCTGTGACAGAAGGGCAATGACTGTGACACCCTAGTCACAAGGCTAGCTCTGGACTGGTATGGGGTACAGTGACCTGACTTTGAGTACTCAGTGCCCAGAGAGTAATATACCTGCTGTTGGCTGGGAAGGGTGACTGAGGGATAGAGACCTGGGATCAGGGACCTGGAGGGGCATGGTCATTGTCCTGCTTGCCTACCTGTTATCTACAGTGTTGCTCTATTTCTGCTGCATGAGGCTTGCCCCACTCAAACCAAAGCAGGCAATGTGCATGACAGACTACTCCCTGCCAATGCTCAGGGGATTGGCAAGGGCTAGATGAGGGGCTACAGTTTTCAGCCAGGCCAGGGGATTCTCAGTGACTTGGGCACTCAGAACTAGGTTGGCCCTTTGTCCCAAGCACCACTCTGGCCTTTGTCCCACTCTCCAAACTGAAACCTCCTGAGGTCTCCAAGAGTCTGGGATTCCTCCTCTTTCCCAGTACCAGGCGGAAAGGGAGGAGCAGAGGCAGTCATTCTGGAGATCACTGGTTCGGTACCTGGAGTGAGTTCACATGGCAGTTATAAGGGGCATCACTGGCAAGGGCCTCTGGCTTTCAGCCTAGAGCAGGAGCATTCTGTGGGGACTGCAGTGGCTCCCCAGAGACCCCACCGGATGCAGTTTCCTGCTGCATGACCAGTGTGCCCCCCACTGTGCAAATTGACCCCATCCCCCAATGCTGCTAACATTGTGCTCGTGATTTCCCACTGCCCGCACCGCTGCAGTGTGAGCAGAACCCTTCCTCCTCTCCCCAGTTCTGCCACATGAATCTTCCTGTTGCCACCATCATGTGGGCATTCCCCCCTGCCCCATCATGTGAGCCCCTGCTGCTGCCATGACTATGCATGTGATCCCCCACCTGCTGCTGCTGCTACTCAAGTAGCCCAAGCCCCACACCCAAGCCCCTGAACTGGTGGTGTTGCACAGGCAGCAAGCTCACTGAGCCTCCTGCCACACTGCCCTGCCCAGAAACCCTGGCCACTGCCACTGCAGCAGCTGGAGCAATGGAATCAGCAGTAGCCACAGAGGAACCCAGGGGCTGCACCTTAACCTCTCATGGGCTTAATGCAGCCCACTGGCTGCCAACTTGACAGTTCTGCCTTAGAACTACATATGTGCATTGCTGTGCTTGAACCAAGAGCCTGGGCTCCTTGGCCAGGCCTGTAATGGACTCAAATTGATTGTGGGTCAGGCACCTGTGGCACTCACCAGTCACATCTACCCTCCAAGTTGTCTTTGTCCCCCTGTGCACTGTACACCACTGGGGGGGAAGCCATCCGGTCACAAGGTAATATCCCCTGGGGCTGGGGATTCTTGGCAAGCCCCTTGGGCACCCAGCCATTAATCCCTGAGGTTTGTTCCTTTGAGTAATTAATTGTGACCTGATAGCAATGGGATCAGAGCAGCGGGACCGCACATGAAGAGACTTGCTTTCCACCCGTGGCTCACTGTACCTCTGGGGGCTCCTGCGGTCTTGTGCTGGCTCAGTATGCCCAACAGAGCAAATGCAGAGGCAAGAATGCCCAAGTCATCTGGATCCCATGACACATGGATGTGAATGACTGAGAGGATTTGGGTCCAGGTGGGCCTCAGCACAGTGTCCACTAGCATTATCAACCACCCCTGCAGCTTTGCCCCACAGGCCCCACAACTTCACCACTCCCTGCAGCTCCCCTGCACTGAGCAGTCCCAGAGACCCCTACACCTGCCCCTCTTCCCACCCCGTGTCACTCACCAGCTTCCCAAAGAACCTCCCAACACATTCTCTTCTTTCCATCCATTAACCCTTCCCAGACCCCCACTCCACACCCTTCCCAAGGGACACCACATCCTCTTACAGAACAGAGCTCCTGGTTCAATAAGGTCAGTCCCTGTTATCACAGACATCTCATTACAGAATCCCTTAATTCAACTGATCTAGCTCCATCCAAAGAGCAAGCATGGGCCTTGCCCCCAAGGCCACTGTAGGGACACTTTAGGGAGGCTGCTCCCAGACCTCTCTCCTCTGGTGGGTAGAGTCCTCCTTCTCATTCCCAGCCTAAATCCATTTGTGGCCAGCTCAAACCCCTTTGTTACTGTGCGAGCATTGTCCTTTACCTTAAATAGCTCTTCTCTCTCTCTGGTGTTTGCCTCAATGTATTTATAGAGAGTTATCACATCCCCTCTCAGCTAACACTCTACTGGGATAAACAAGCCAAGTGCCTTTCTGCTCCTCTCCTAGCACAGGCTCTCTAGTCCTTGCTTAGTCCAGCAGCTCTGCACCTGGACCAGCTGGAGCTCTTCTCTCTTGAACCCAGGTGACCAGAACTGTACACTGGATTCCAGATGAGCTCTCAACAGTGCCTTGTGCATTATTACAGCTGGAATGTATCACTTGATATATCCTAGCATAGCATTTGCCTTTTTCACAGCTGCATCACACTGAGTGTTCTCATTATGACTGGCTAATGCCCTCAGGTCTTTCTCCTCTTATGCTTTTTCTAATTCATGAGGTCCCAGCTTCCAGTACTTTGCATTAAGCTCCCTGCTATTTCTATTACTACAATCCTCAAGGACATCCTTCTCTCCCTCTATGATGTTCTGATCTTCCCCTGTACTGACAATGCCTCTCAATGTGTTTGATCACAAAAGTTCATTATTATATACCTACAGTTTGTGCCATGGTCACTGATAAAAATATTAAATAACAACTGTCCCAAGACAGAGCCTTGAGGCACTTCACCACACACCTCCATCCAGCCTGATAATTCCCTTTTCAGCATAATCAGCTGTCATCTCCCTTGCACCCAGTTCCTTACCTCCCTGACAACTGTGGTGTTCATCTTGTACATTTCTGCTCTCCCTGCACTCACCTGCCACTCCTCAGTCTCTAGTTCCAGCATTTCCTAGAGTCTGGCAATATGCCCACTCCTCAAGCTTTTGTAAGCTTTGAACAGTGGTAACCTCACTAGCCTCTATGCCCAGGGCCTCACTTCTTCCCCCCCACCTCCCAAACCATCATCCCCTCTAGTCAGCAGCCTCAGGTTAGCAGAGTAAACAGAAGTACCCTCTGAGCTCCCCCAAATCATGACACATGCTGGCCTCCTTGCATGGTTATGAGTAGAGACTAAGTAGATATAAGCAGCTACTCTCCAGTGGGTGCAGACAAAGCCTTTTACTGTGTTGGTGGCCCAAGAGAGGACAACTCTTCCAGGATGGTGCAGCAAAAGGGGGATAGTGAGTGGCTGAAATAGTGCTCAGTCTTGCCTCGGTTCAACACCCCAACAGCATCCTGGCCACACACCAGCCAAGTAGGCAATTTTTGCAAGCACTCAGCAATGAGCAGGATCAATGTCTACAACAAAGTCAATTGGGCCAAGACACTCTGGAGAGATGAATGCATCAGATATTTTTAGAGGGGCTGGGATGGATTATGAGCTGATTTTACAATGGTAAGTCTGACCAGAACTGGTCATTCTCTTCTCCTAGAGCCACAGTTCTTCCCACCCTAGCTCTTGTCCCAAGCACAATAATGTACTCTGGACCTCTCTCATTAAAGAACAGGAGCATAATTCACACCAGTCCATGTGCCTTCACAGACTACTGGCCTTGTCAAGCAAACCTGGTATTGCTCTTTGATGAGGTTATAACTCTGGCTGATGAAAAGCATCTAGACGGACATCATGCCCTGAGGCATCTGCAAGGAGCTGGATTCAATCCTGCCTGACACTGTGATTAAGGAGCTAATACTAAACAGACTTCATGGGGGGAAAAGCCAGTCAGGATTTCTGTGATAAGCCATGCTCTTGGGAAAGCAGGGCACTCCAGCCAAGCCAGGATATTTTTCAGGATGTACAGGTTTCTGCCAGAGGTTTGAGGTCCAAGGACAGAGGGGGCATCTTTAAAGTGACCAGAGACAGAGGAATCCAAGGCCTGGCCTCGTCAAACTCAAGAGAGATGGATTGCCATAATTCCATCTCACAGTCAAAAAGTTTGTGTGGCCAGATCAGCAGCAATAGCAAGGTCCTGGCCCTCTGGACCTTTTCTTCACAGGCACTAGGACCCTGGAACCCTTCCCAATGTAAGGCCAAGTGAAGTTTGATCCACTCCCAGACTGACCTCCACCTTTCCTACTACCATTTATCTTCATAACCTGTTACACAAAACAACCTCCTTCAGTCCGTTCCCCACCCCCTTGCAGTCTCTCACCCTTTGTAGACATCCAGAAACCACCCAGCCGAGTCTCATTACTGGACAGGGAAACTGGGCCCCCTGCTGAAAAGCACCAGCAGGAAAGGTAGCTGGTCCCACCCAGGTGAAACTGGCCCACCTCCAGTTAGAGAGCCAACCAGCCTGTGACAAAGATGCTCTTATTCCAGTGAAGGATGGAAACAAGTTTTGAAACTTTGCGCACTTGAACAGTCAGCTATACCATATTGGCACACATGAAACAAATTAAAGACTGGCTGGTTGATAGATCATCATAGTCAAGTGGGAGCTGTACAAAAGGTCCCACTGAGATCTGTTCTCCACACTACAATGATTTTTGTCAGTGCTTGAGAAAACGAATATGTGCTACAGAACTCAGAACATGGGAGAGTCAAGGACTTGGA